ATCAATGGGAAAAAAATATCCTTGGGAGAGGATTAACGACAACAACAAAAAAATGTTAGCAGATCAATCTGGCAATATGAGAAAAGGATATACATCATTGCCAAATGGGATTTCTTCCAGGAGCAAGATTAGATTTGGTGTTTGAAAATCAAATGTTCTTCACTACATTAACAGAATGAGGGAGGAAAATAATGGGATTATCTTAATAAAATAAAAGAAATTTATATAGTTTAACATCTATTCATGAAAAAGAAACTCTAAACAAACAAGAATAAGAGATAATTTCCTTAGTCTAATAAAGGATGGCTACAAACAACCTACAGCGAAATCATACTTATTAGTGAAATACTGATCATTTTCCCCCTGAGGTTGGAAACAAGATAAGGATATCCATCTGCTATTACCACTTTTATTCAGCATTATATTGGCGATCCTAGGCAGTGCAGTAAAGCAGGAAAAAACTGTACATATAAAATTTGAAAAGAAAGAAGTAAAACTGTCAATTTTTAGAGTTGACATGATTGTATATGTAAAAAAATCCAAAGAAATATGCAATTAGAATTAATAAGTGACTTTAGCAAGGGTGCCAAATACATAGAAGTATTTTAAAAAATCAATATATTAGTAAAAATAATATATTCTGTATATTAGCAGTAGAATTTAGAAAATCAAATTTTAAAAGATACTATTTACAGTAGCATCAAAATATATACCTAAGACTGTATCTAACAAGAGATTTGCAAAGCTTCTATAATGAAAACTATAAAACATTGCTCAGAAAAATTAAAGTCCTAAATAAATGGAGGGGATATATAATGTTCATGGACTGGAAGACTCAATGTGATTATATCAATTCTCCTTAAATTGCTCCTAATCAAAATCCTAGCAAGTTGGATTTTTTTTTTTTTTTTTTTGCAAGGGTATGGGTGGTAGGATGGTGAAAGAGGGCAGAACTGATAAACTTTAAAATTTATGTGAAAATGCAAAAGTTCTAGAATAGCTGGGAAAGTTAGAGTGATAAAGATAGTGTAGTGTTGGCTAATACCACAATCTCAGATCTATGTATACTGAGATACTATAGTCAGAACAATCACCTGACTATGACAAAAGTACAGTATGATGCAATGGAATAAGGATAGTGGTTGTGTGTGTATGTGTGTGTGTGTGTGTGTGCGTGTGTGTGTTTTGTTTTTGTTAATCCTCACCTGAGGATATTTTTTCCATTGATTTTTTAGAGAGAGTGGAAGAGAGAGAGAGAGGAGGTGGCTGGGAGGGGCAGGGCAGGGGTAGAAAGGTGTGTGAGACACATCAGTTGATTGCCTCCTACAGGAGCCCCACCTAGGGCAAGCCCTGTGGTGCACAGGCTGACACTCTAACCACTGAGCACACCAGCCAGGGCAAGGAGAGTGTGTTTTAACCTTTTCCTTTTAAAGTTTTGTGTCTGTGTATTTAAAAGTGTATTTCTTTATTGACTATATAATTTGGACATTTAAAAAAATCCAGGCTGAAAATGTTTACCTTTTATAGCTAGGGTTTAGTTTATTTACATTTAATGTAATTACTAATATATTTAGGTTTCAGTCTACCATGGTCCTATTTGTTTTACATTTTTTCCAATTTTTTTGTTTCCTTTCTTTCCTTCTTTTGGATTAGTTGAATAATTGTTAATATTATATTTACTTCTCAGTTAGCTTTTTAGTTATAATTACTAGAGGCCCGGTGCATGAAAATTCATGCATTGAAGCGGGGGTCCCTCAGCCCGGCCTGCCCCCTCTCACAGTCTGGGAGTCCTCAGGGGCGGGCAGGAGGCGACCTGGCGATCAGAGGAAGGTGGTGCCCCATCACACCTCTGCTACTGCCACTGCCGGCAGTACAAGCCTTGGATGGCCCTGGTTACCTGAGCCTCGGACTGCCCTGGGCAGCTGTGCAGCCGTCATCTAAGGCTTGCCTGTGCCTTGGGCCGCCCCGGCGGGGCTGGGGGGACTGGACACTGCCATCTTGTGGTTGTGGGTGCCGCCACCTTTGAGAGCGGGGCACTCAGTTAGCATATTCCCTTTTATTAGATAGGATTCCTAATCTCTCCACTTTAAGTGCATTCTATGTTTTTATTTTCATTAAATGTTGATTAAATAAACTCTCCTTTTAAATGAGTGTCAAACAATGGTGTAATAGAACTAATCCCTCAAAGGTGGGGTGGAGTGCAAATACTAAATAACTATTTTTTCAATTAAGTCTTACTGATCTCATCAGTTAAAGGATCATCCTAACTCATTACTTATTAGTGATTACCTTAAAGATGATCATTCAAAAGTGAGCTGTGGTCACGTGCAGGCAGCATCTCTGATTGGATACAGGGAAGGCATCTGTGAGTGGGAGCCTGAGGAAAGTGGCCTCTCTTCATTATCCTCATGGTAATGGTGGGCTAGAGGCAGCAAAATTATTTGTTTTGGCTTTGATGACTCTGTTGAGGTATTAGAACAACATTTCTGGATGGAAATTGGTCCATGGTTCTCTATAAAATTTGGAGCATATATGTGACTGGAGGCCCAGTGCACGAAATTCATGCTCTGGGGCGGGGGTTGTCCCTCAGCCCAGCCTGCACCCTCTCCAATCTGGGACTGCTGGCTCCTAACCATTCGCCTGCCTGCCAGCCTGATCACCCCCTAACCGCTCCCCTGCCAGCCTGATCACCCCCTAACCACTCCCCTGCCAGCCTGATTGACACCTAACTGCTCCCCTGCCGGCCCGATCGCCCCCAACTGTCCTCCCCTAGGCCTGGTCACCCCCAACTGCCCTCCCCTGCTGGCCATCTTGTGACAACATGGGGGCGGCCATCATGTGATGACATGGGGTGGCCATCTTGTGATGATGTGAAGGCTTGAGGGTTAATTTGCATATTATCCCTTTATTATATATGATTTTTTGGAATGAGACTTTGTAAAAATTATGGTGAATCTAAAAGGATTAAGAACTCATGCATTGCAGAGATATTAAATGAATACGGGAACAGGTGAGCAGGAATTCTTCCCAGGGTGTGTCTCATGGAATCAAAAAATGAAGCTGAAGTTTGGATCGGAGTTCAAAACAAGGCAGGAGTTTATTGCAAACAAACATAGTCTCCCCAGCATTCTGCTCTTCCCCTTATATCTGCTAAAGGCCCACTCTTTGTCTATCTGTGCCGCTCTCCGATTGGTTTCTGGCCTTTTTGCAACATTTTGTTTTGCACTTGTAAGAAAAACATCTTTGTTTCAAAACACCCTGTTTTTCTGCAAAACATTTTTTTGTTTGTTTCAGCTACTCCACGATTCCTCCTTCTTCTACTCCTAACCCTATCTACTAATTCTGCTTTAACTCCTTTCAGTAATAACTGCCATTTATTAAGGGCCCAGTATGTTAATTTGTTCTAGAAGCACTTCATGGTAATTCTCTCTACATCTCTATGGTTCCCATTCTACATACAGATGAGGGAGTAAACGGACTCAGGGGTATTAATATTGTCAAAGACACAACCAGAAGATGGCAAAATTAACCCAGATTTCTAGTTTTTATACTCCTAACTGCAGTCTCCATTATTAATGGAGAAATGAATTTTGCCTGATGACAAATTAGGATAAGCATATGTATCTTTGTGAAAACTCAGCCCCACCAAAGGATACCTTATATTACAGTCTACTGGGAATAGACTTGTTTGTTTTTTTGTTAGTCCTCACCCGAGGATATTTTTCTCATTGATTGGGAGGGAGGGAAGCGGGGGGAAGAGAGAGAGAGAGAGAGATTGGTTGCCTCCTGCACTTGCCCTGCCTGGGAGTCAACCTGCAACCCAGGTACATGCCCTTGACCGGAAATCGAACCCGAGACCCTTTGGTGCCCAAGTGGATGCTCTATCCATTGAGCCACATCAGCCAGGACATAAACCTTTTTTTTTTTTTTTTTTTTTAATGGCCTTTTTTTGCCATGGCCGGTGTGGCTTGGTTGGGCTTCATCCGTGCACCAAAAGATTATGGGTTTGATTCTCAGGGCACATGCCCAGGTTTCAGGCCGATACCCCATAGGGGGTGTGCAGGAGGCAGCTAATCGATGCTTTGCTCTCACATTGATGTTTCTCTCTCTCTCTAAAAAATCAATAAAAAAATAAAAAAATAATAAAATGACCTTTTTTTCTCTACACATAGTTTACATTAGAATATGCTGACATAGTATTTGTTTTCCTTCTAAGAGGAGTAATTGTAGTGGTTGAGAGGGCACTGATTTGAGGTAGCTGTGAAATTGTGCGCAGTCTATAAGTTTATCCTCCTGTAAAGTAAATAGTACCTGTCTAACTAATTTCAAAGAGCTGTCATGAAAATTAAACAAGGCAGTATATTTGTAAATGCTTCAGAAACTTTCAGGCTCCTTAAAAATGAGTAGATAAAAGTTAGCACACTTTTTAAAAATTGATTTCAGAGAGGAAGGAAGAGGGAGTGAGAGAGAGAAACATCAGAGAGAATCATTGATTGGTGGCCTCCTACATGCTCCACACTAAAGGCATGTGCTCTGACCAGAAATCAAATCATGACCTCTTGGTTCATGGGTCAAAGCTCAACCACTAAGCCATGCCGGCTGGGCAAAACTTAACACACTTTATAAGTATGAGAAACACTTTTTTATGCACAATAGGAATGAAAGAAAGCTGCCTGTTAAATTCACCTGCTATTGATTATACAACATAGCCCAATTTCAGAAGTATTAAAATATGGGAAGCAATGTGCATCTTGGAATTGATAAAATATGGTATATTGTGGTGTGTTACTCTTTTAAAGTTCTTCCATAGAGTTCTCTGTGTTTGGAAACCATTGAATTTATTTTATCCTGGTCTCTTTAATGAACTAGGCTACAAGTGATTGATTGACAGATTTCTTTTGCATTCAGTAGACTTTTTCAAATATTTTTTGAAAGGTCAGTGTCTTTTATATTAAAAATAGCATGTATCTTTTTTTTTTTCTTTCTTTTTTTTCCTCCAGTAAGATGAAGGGAATGTCCAGACATTCACAGATGGCAAAGATCAGAAGTTCTGGCAGACATCACAAGTGGGAAAATGACTGTGCCGGACAGAGAGCAGCCATCGGATCAAGCAATTCCTTGGTTGATTCAAAACCTGAAGGTCCACCCAAGGCAAATGCAGACCCTCTGAGTGTTTTGGTAAATACTGATTCTGGTAAGTTAATCCGGGAAAAGGTGTGTTTGTAAGTATAGGCAATGATGCTGAAGTTGAATCTTGACAGCATTGTTTGTAGAGAGTTTAATGGCAGATATGTAAAAATGTAGAATGATGCTTTTGCTTTTATTTTATTACAGAAATTCCTTGTAAAAAACCTCATTTCAGGACATCTTTTCTGAACTGGGGGTAGATGTATGAGGCAGACAAGATGTGGAAGAAAGATAATATATGTTGGATAATTTCCATAGTATGATGCAATCTTGGAACCTTTCTTAAGATTGTCCTGAGTGTTGACGGTGTATATTCAAATTTGCTCAATTATTTGAATTTTTACCACCATAAAGTAGTAATTTCAGTAGAAGTTAGTATTATTTATGCTTCTGATCATTGGGTAAATAATATTAATTCATTATATTTGAGTAATACTACTCTTCCTCGGGCATAGAATATATTTATGTGTTTATTGAATTCCTCTAGACCTTATGGGGCAAGTTTACTCTTGCTTATAAATTGAAAAATTAAAGGACCAAAATGCTGCTATCCCATGCAGATCTCATTCAACCTGTGAGATTCCATTTTCCCTTCTGAAAAATGAAAATTTATATATAAATATTTCTATTACCTTTCCTTCCAATAGCATTGGGAGGCTTTATCTAATTGCATGTGTTTTCTCATTTGCAAAGGAGTATTATTAGTGAGTGGGCTAAGGTTACATTGTAGGTTTGCCAGCAGCCTCTGTTCAGCCTGGAAGATAGTGGCTTCACATGACAGATTATTGAACTTGTTTCCTTATAATAAACCTTTTACATATGTACTGTTAAGAACTCTGTAATATTGAGTGGTCTTTGTTGTTTTTGTTTTGTTAGCTTTGGTAGATGGATAATTCTGTTTTCTCATTTTATAAAGAAAATTTCTTAATCCTCACCTGAGGATATGTTCATTGGTTTTAGGGAGAGAAAAAAGGAGAGAGAAAGAAAAAAATATCGATGTGAGAGAGAAACATTGATCAGCTGCCTGCTATGCACCCCCACTGGGGATCAGAACCCGAAACCTACATATGTGCCCTGACTGGGAATCACACCCACAACCTTTTGGTGTATGGGACAGCATTTCAACAAGCTGAGCAACCCAGCTGGGGCTGTTTTCTCATATGTAAAGAAGTATTTCAGTATGTGCTAATCTGGTGAAATAACAATGAAAAGATGATTATATCTCTTGCTTTTACTTAAACCTGTAGCTAGGTCTTTAAGAGACACTTTAGATATGAGCAACAGTAATAAAAACCTTTCATCCTCATTTTATGGGGGAAATTCCATGTAAACTCATGTTATCCTTTACCTCAGATTTTTTCTGGACGTTTACATTTTCCAAATCAGTGTTTAGACAAACTGGTTTTTCAACTTTTCATTACAGGTAGAGCTACAGAAAACCGCATGTGCCATTTTTTTTCAGATGCCCTAAATATTCTCTCCAATATATCAGCCTTACACTTGTTTGGAGGCAGCTTCCTTCACCTTGGGCCAGAGCCAGTCAAATCCAGTTGTGTGCTAATTATTCAGGGTGCAGCACAGCATTGTGATAATGGTGCTGTTTGTGCTCTCATGTGGCACTTAACACCTCTCAGCATAAAGCTGACTTTCAGAATGGAGATCTCCCAATTCCTTGTATTTTTTTGCCTTTTTTTTTCTTGGCTCAGAATCTAATCCAGACATCAGCATTCACATTTTAGATAAGACAACAGTTCTTAATCTTTATAAACCTCATATCATACTTAGAAAATCTTTACCTGAGCCCTCCTTTTTGTAATACTTGGTAGTTTGTCAACTCTCACTAATTGTGCAGATGCTTTAAACATAGGATTGACAGTGTTTCAAGGGGAAGCATATCATTTGGAGTCTCCCAGTTTATCACTTTTGAGTATGGCCTGTTGTCACTAGATTTTCTTTTAAACGTTTTGGTGTCTCATTTGTTTGGACCACATTTATTTTGTTGCTGTTCTTTAAATATACATACAACATGTTTTATGGTTTTCCTGGCCTGTGGTTTTAATAAGTTTTAACTGAGCGCGAAAGAAGGGAGCTGGTCAGTAATGTGTCCTTGAGCATTGCTGACCGAAGCGCCTCAGCAGCCACAAAACAAAAAGGACCCAATTTGTCATTCATTCATTGTGATGTAGCTATTATCATAGAACACTGACTAGGACAGCATTCTTTGCACTGACATAAGCTAAATGGGCTTCTGTTGTTTAAAAGGTAGATGTTAATGTAACAAAATAAGCAGGCCTAGCACACCTGCTGTCATGAATGCCCATTGTTAAATATCTGTTTTTGAGTTGGAAACCATAAAACCAAGTTTCCATTTTTTAAGGATGATTTTTTTCAATAGATAGCATTTTCTTTACGAGACTTAATTTGAAAATGTTCTTGAGGTTAGAGCATATAACTGTGTTTTGTTCCATAAGGGCAATAGCAAATGGTAGGAGGATGCCCTGCTGGTGTAGCTCAGTAGTTGAGCATCGACCTATGAATCAGGAGGTCACGGTTCCATTCTCAGTCAGGGCACATGCCCAGGTTGTGGGCTCGTTCCCCGGTGGGGGGGCATGCAGAAGGCAGCTGATGGATGATTTTCTTTCATCACTGATGTTTCTATCTCCCCCTCTCCCTTCCTCTCTGAAATCAATAAAATATATTTTTTAAAAAAGAAAAGAAAATGGTAGGAAGAGAGACAAGTAAAGAAATAAATTGTAGAAAGAAGCCAGATATGAAGCTTTTACAACTAGTGTGGAGAGTTGGGCAAGACATTCAGAAGTCAGTTTTTTTTCCTGTTTTCATTTTAATAGGGATTTACTGAGATCTTGCTTTTTGCTTGCCTAGCACTATGATTCAGAGAAGTCTCTCTCTGCCTTCAAGAAATTCAGTCTAGTAATAGGTTTTAGATTATTGTATTATATTTTTGGTTAGTGGGAATATGATATGTATACATGAGAAGTGAGATTTACCATAAGAAAAGTATCAGTAGTGTTTTAAGAGTAAGAGAAATTATTTGAGCTGGTATTTTATAATCATTTTAAAGTTTAATTTAATCATCTTCATTGCTACTGTTTTTATAGTGATGTTTTTAGTTTAGAGAAATGTTTTGGCTGTTTTTATTAAAAAGTGAGTGAAGCCCTCGCTGGTTTGGCTCAGTGGATAGAGCATTATACTGCGGACCAGAGGGTCCTGGGTTCATTTCCGGTCAAGGGCATGTACCTCAGTTGTAGGCTACTCCTTGGCCTGGGCCCTGGTCGAGGCATGTGCAGGAGGCAGCCAATCGATGTGTTTCTCTCACATCGATATTTCTCTGTCTTTCCCTCTAAAAATCAATGGAAAGATATCCTTGGGTGAGGATTAAAAATAAAAAAGTGAGTGAAGTTTGTTGAGTGTTATTCTGTCAGCTAGTACAGTGTCTTTGGCATAGTCTTTCCAGGGTAGCTTCTCAAAATGCCTCTTTTAGAACTGGTAGGTGTGTCTGGAGGGCTTTGGAAACAGCTTTCTCTTTTGAGATGAAAAGTCACTGTACAGGACGTTTTGATCAAGTCAAAAGGGATAGCAGCCCTTTTCAAAGTGTTATTTTGTGTGGTGGGAATAAAATAGGGAAGAAGTTGTTCATTTGTGTGAATTCCTAACTATTACCTTTGGGAAGGCAGTCAGGTACAGTGAGCTTCGTGACACTCCTAGTAATCATGAAAACACCAAACACCAAGATTGTGGTTTTACCATTCTCCAGTTAAAGAGACTAGACCAGAGTTTTTTGGAGAAATGATTGAAGTTTGGGAAAGGGAAAATATAAGGTGAGCCTAGAGCAGGGGTGGGCAAACTTTTTGACTCGAGGGCCACGATGGGTTCTTAAACTGGACCGGAGGGCCGGAACAAAAGCATGGATGGAGTGTTTGTGTGAACTAATATAAATTCAAAGTAAACATCATTACATAAAAGGGTACGGTCTTTTTTTTTTTTTTTAGTTTTATTCATTTCAAACGGGTCCCGGCCCTCTGGCCGTAGTTTGCCCACCGCTGGCCTAGAGCATCTAATACAGTGCCAGACAGGAAGAAAGTGCTCAAAAAACATTAGGATGTGGGAATGTCAGAAGGATATAAGGACCAACTGGAAGTGCTCCCAATGGCTAAATTTGTAACAATTTTGAGCCACAAAATAAATAATAATAGATTATAGCCAAAAGAATAAAATAGATATTCATGAGTCTACTGATATAAATAAATATGGGGAGGAGGGACAACTGTTTTTTATAGAAGAATTTCAATAATAATTGTAGAAGGGTTAGGGAGAAATAGAAAGTCACCATTAGAACACCACAGTAATAATTGTTTCAGGCAAGAGCCACTGGTGAATGGTACTTTAAGGTAAAATAGAGTATTTATATAGCCTCAAAATATCTCCCCCAAATGTTGAACAGGCAGTTAGATTATTTTGGAGTTTAGGGAAAAATTGAAGGCTGCAGGTATAAATGTATAATTCACCGGCATCTAGATAGTATTTTAAAATTTGAGATAAAATGGAATCATAGGAGGAGGCAAAAAGAAAAACTCACTGAGGATTGGAACCAGGGGCACTTGAAAAATTTGGAAGTTGGTCAATGAGGAGGATTCAGTAGGGAGACTGGGAAAGCAGAGCCAAGAGAAGGGGGTCTGGAAGCCACATGAATAAAATGTTTTTTAAAAAGTAAAACATGACCCCTGGCCAGTGTGGCTCAGTTGGTCAGAGCGTTGTCTCATGCACTGAAGGGTCATGGGTTCGATTCCTGGTCATTGTATATATGGGAGGCAGCAGATCAATGATTCTTTCTCATCATTGATGTTTCTGTCTCTGCCTCTCCATTCCTCTCTGCAATCAATAAAAATGTATTTTAAAAAAAGTAAAACATAATTACTGTCAAATGTTGTCACTAAGTTAAATAAGATGTGAACCGAGAAATGGCCTCTAGATTTGTCAACACGGAAGAAGCAGGTTAATTTTGGCAGGAAAAGCTTCACTGGTGTGGAGGGCCTGAAAGACAAATTGGAGTAAATTCGGGAGTGGGTCAGACAGCTGTAGGAAATTTCAGGCCCAGATGATTTCTTGGTGAATTTTATCAAATAGCTGTTTGGAATTTTGCTGTAAAAGGGAGCAGTGAAATGGAGCTGTTAGTGTAAAGAAGACATTTATTAACATTGTTATTGACCAAAGAGACATTTTAATAGGATGGCTTCATTTTTTAAAATTAAATTTATTGAGATGACATTGGTCAACATGATTATATAGGTTTCAGGTATGGGTCTCTATGTTACAAGATCACATATTGCACTGTGTGCCCACCACCCAAAATCAGATTTTCTCCTGTCATCATATGGTGAAACCACATTTACCACCTCCCCTTTCCCATTGGCAACCACCACACACTGCTGTTTGTGTTCACAAGTTTGTTTTATATCCCACATGAGTGAAATCTTAAGATTCTTAGCTTTTTCTGACTGACTTATTTCACTTAGCATAATGTTCTCAAGGTCCATCCATGTTGTAAATGGTGCTATTCCATCCTTTCTTATGGCTGAGTAGTATTCCACTGTGTATATGAACCACATCTTCTTTATCCACTCCTTTATCGCAAGACACTTCAGTTGTTTCCATGTCTTGGCCACTGTGAATAATGCTGCAGTGAACATAGGGGTGCATATATCATTGCGAATACGTAATTTCCAGTTTTATATCTATAGGCGATATTCTAACCCTCTAGTTAAAGAATTGGAATTTGGAGTCAAATGGCCAGGACTTAAATTTGACCCAGCTGTTGTATACTAGTAATTGTGTTGCCTAAGGGAAAATTAGCAGATTCTTTGAATTTGGTTTCACCACCTATAATTAATACTGAAAGTGATACCTCATAAGGATGAAATGTGCTTATGCTTTTAAAGAATAGGTATTGCCCTTTTTGGTATCTCTTTGGGTCTTAGAAGGAAATAATACAGTTTGGCCTGGCATCATTCAAATAATGGGATGAACAATCACTATACTAATATTGTTGTAGATTGTTCTTAATCCATTGAAAATATATATCTATATTAATTATATTTAGAGAGATAGATAAAAACAATACATATTTCCCTTTCCCTTTATAAATCCAGGAGAAAAGGTGATAAGTTAGCATAAAAATGCCTGGCCGGTGCAGCTCAGTGGTTGAGCGTTCACCTATGAACCAGGTCACCGTTCAATTCCCGGTCAGGGGGGTTGCGGGCTCAATCCCCAGTAGGGGATGTGCAGGAGGCAGCGAATCAATGTTTCTCCCATCCTCTCTGAAATCAATAAAAAAAATTATTTTAAAAATTGACAAGCAGTTTTTGGACAGTCTGGTGCTGGGCAGTGTGGATGGGTGGAGGAGAAAGGATTTAACTTCACTAGATTTAACCACTAGAAGGTAGTAGTTCCACATTCACAGAAGAGTATACTCCCATATTCTATTGGCCTGTTTTGCTTTCCCCTAGATTTAGTGAACATTAAATGCTGTCTTGAAACATCTCACATTGGTTGTGGGCTGAGTTAGTTCATTACATAGACAAGTTACTTATTGTCTTCATTCTTCGGTCAGGCTTTATTTTCATTGGTTGTTTTGAATACATTTAATATATTTTTAGAGCTGCCAAAAACAAATGTAATAGGTAGTGTCCTGGGGCTACAGCTAGGCTTGTTGGGCTCTGATCAAACACTTTACCTTTGGCAGGCTTTTGAGTACTTCAGTTCTCATGCGTGGCTTGTTTAGTTAAGTTCTTAGAAGTTCACATTCCAAATAATAAAAACTTTGGACAGATTAATTTCAGCAAAATTCTTTGATTAAGCTTTTATCTATAGAATGGCATAACTACTATTTCCTTAAAACCAGTCTTAAAAATAACACAGGTAGATATTATTATATTTTATTCCTAAATCTAATATTCAAAGTCTGATCCTAATCAAGGGAATTTAATACATTTCTGGTCTTTCTACTATCTTAATGAAATTAATTAATAGCATACATAAAGTAAATACAATAAATTAATAGCAAAGACTGTAATTAAATTAATTTAAAGAAGGCCCAAATTCCATAATCTGTGAAATAACAGTTGTGTATAGCTTCCATTTGCCCCTGTGTCTTCTCTTTGGGGCAAATTACTTCTCTGATCATGAAGAGTTAAACCAATGAGAAATTTTTCAGGTCCTTTGAGTTTTGTTCTTCAGGAAGATTTAGGAAAAAATTCTTTTCCTAACATATGAGGGAGTGGGGGCTGTCAGCTTTCTTTTTATTATGGTAGATATTTCTGGTATACTGTTTTACTCTTGGTTCTTTTTCTGTTTCAGAGTCTGATAAAGAGGAGAAACCACAAAGTACTGTCATACCCAAGGAAGTGACACCAGCCCTGTGCTCATTAATGAACAACTATGGCAGTCTGTCAGGGTCAGAGAGTGAGCCAGAAGGTAAGTTATGGCCTCAGTTGTTGCAATGGGTTTGTTTTATTTTGTTGCTTTTGCCTTTGATATATACTATGCATCAGTAGTGTCCATTCATGTGTATGTATACGAGGAAATATGTGTCATGCATGTTCCTATTTGATATTTAAATTCCTATTTCATTTGATTCAGAAGTAAAGTTAACATGGGACAAAGGAAACAAATGGGGAAATGTATTGCTGTTCTGGGAGAAAAAGGTAAACATAATGCAGTGAGAGAATGGGAAGAAGAGAGAATATCGACTCATGGTATTGAAGAAAATTCTAAAAGGTATAACAAAGAAAGTTAATTTCTTGTCTCTACTCTCCCTGCACCTTTGGTGGGTAAAAAGAGGTCCTTTATGACAGAGATGATGATAGACTTTCATAAGTATATATAGGGTATTGTTCTTCATAGAGCAGATTTACATAAATTACCTCACTTTTTTTTAAAATATATTTCATTGATTTTTTACAGAGAGGAAAGGAGAGAGATAGAGAGTTAGAAACATCGATGAGAGAGAAACATTGATCAGCCGCCTCCTGCACATCTCCCACTGGGGATGTGCCCGCAACCCTGGTACATGCCCTTGACCGGCATCGAACCCAGGACCCTTCAGTCCGCAGGCCGACAGTCTATCCACTGAGTCAAACCGGTTTCGGCAAATTACCTCACTTTTTAACAAAGCAACCCTGTATTTGTGGTTGCATTAGTTTTAAAGGTTGGAGGAAATGAATCCTTTCAAGAGTCTTTCTGAGAAGTCAATTATGTTTTACCCTTAGAGATGATGATGAGCCAGTTTAATCTCTAGCATCTCTTAAAAGAGCTGTGAGTTGCCTTGGCTAGTGTGGCTCAGTTGATTGAATATCATCCCATGCACCAAGAGGTTGCTCGTTTGATTCCGGGTCATGGCATGTGCCCAGGTTGTGGGCTCAGTCCCCAGTGGGGGGTGTTCAAGTGGCAGCCGATCAGTGATTCTCTCATCAATGTTTCTGTCTCTCTCTCTCTCTCCCTTCCTCTCTCTAGAATCAACAAAAACATACATATATTTTTAAAAAAAGAGCTGTGAGTAGGCCGTTGATCTGTTGCAGTGTCGTTTGTAGTTCTTAACCCAATGTTCCTATCAGTAATTCAGCATATGCTTCATGAATAAGCCTGTGTCCTGCTGTTGTGGAAATCTGACTCTTCATGGTAATTTTATTTAGGCTTTACCAACCATGAGAGAATTCATGTGTATGTATCGCAGGCCACGATGAGTAATCACAATAGGAAATGTACTGGAGATCAGAATATAGAGTCTAACAGTGAATATACAGAATGAAGGGAAGATTTGAATGTAAGTGGATGAGAATGGCAGCACTTTAATGTTGACAAGGCTAGAGATAATCAGTGTTTGTGTAGTTGGAAGATGTTAAAGAAATAAGAATGGGGTTTTAATATGAAAGATAATGTTTAGATCTATCTTTAATAGGAATTTTTTTTTTCTTTTTAAAATGGGTTCTGGCTTACTATGGTAGCTGGTTAAAAGCTACTTGAAGTTTTTGAAATACAAACTACTTTGGCTTTATCAGATAGTTGCCCCTTTTTTAAAAAAAATCAAAGTAGTATTTATCTCTTTACTCTTGTTTCCAGTGCACTGATATGAAGATGGAGTTATTCTTTAAACACATATTACATTTTCTGCTTATCAGTTGTATTTATGACAGGTGATAGCAAAGAAAGCTATTACCAGATTACAGAATCCAGTAAAAGCAAGCTGTGTGAATGCTTTCTTCTCTCTCTCTTAAGATAAAACATTTAATGCTTTTATACTCATGTCTTCATTTTGAGGCTACCACCTTTTTTTAACTAGAAGGAAGAAAAGAAACGAAGGGATCTTTGAGTCCCACCCCTTCATTTCATAGAACCTTAAGCTTAGAACGGATAAGCTTCCAAAGCTAGTGTGAGGCTGAGCAGATGCAAAGCTTAAGTTTAGGGACTTAAACATGTAAAGAAGCCGGCTATATTGCCTTCCAGCAGAGCCTCTCTCTGTGTGGCATTTGTTGTCTTCTTGCACAGTAAGTCATAACCTTTTTTTTTTATTATTGGGGTGACATTGGTTAATAAGATCGCATAGGTTCAAGTGAACATTTTGATAACTACCATACTGTTATCTGTGCCTATGAGCTTCAGTTTTGAAATCATATAGTTCTTAGCTTTTTCTGATGGGCTTATTTTGCTTAGGATAACATTCTCAAGGTCCATCCATGTTGTCGCAAATGGCAGTATTTCATCTTTTCTTATGACTGAGTAATATTCCATAGTGTATATGAACCACATCATCTTTATCCAGTCCTTTATCGAAGGACACTTTTGTCTCCATGTCTTGGCCACCATGAACAATGCTGAATGAACATAGGGGTGCATATATCTTTGTGAATAAATTTTTTCGAGTTTTTCGGGTAGATACCCAGAAGAGGAATTGCTGGGTCATATGGTAACTCTATTCTTAATTTTTTGAGGAACAGTCATAGTGGTTCTACCAGTTTATATTCCCACCAGCAGTGAATGAGTGTTCCCTTTCTCCATAACCTCTCCAACACTTGTTATGAACTGTCTTGGTGATAATAGCCATTCTAACAGGTGTGAAGTGGTATCTCATTGTAGTTTTGATTTGCATTTCCCTAGTAATGGAGAAGAACATCTTTTCATATGAACATCTTTTCATATATCTGTTGGCTATTGGTATGTCTTCTTGGGAGAAGTGTCTGTTTTAAGTAGGCTGCCAATTTTTTTTTTTAATATATTTTATTGATTTTTTACAGAGAGGAAGGGAGAGAGATAGTTAGAAACATCGATGAGAGAGAAACATCGATCAGCTGCCTCCTGCACATCTCCTACTGGGGATATGCCCGCAACCAAGGTACATGCCCTTGACTGGAATCAAACCCGGGACCCTTCAGTCCGCAGGCCGACACTCTATCCACCGAGCCAAACCGGTTTCGGCGAGGCTGCCTATTTTTTAATTGTATTGTTTGTTTGGTGTTGACTTGTATGAGTTCTTTATATACTTTGGATATTAACCTCTTGTCGGAGCTGTTCTTTGCAAATACGGTAAACCCTTGATTTTGCGGGCCTTGGTTTAACAGACTTTGGATTTAATGGATAAACTATCCAGTCCGTATGTTACTTGTGAAAATTAACAGCCTATTTATTTTAAAATGCTTTTAACCAAGATTTGCTGAGGATTTGTCATATATGGCCTTTATTATATTGAGTTACTTTCCTTCTATTCCTATTTTATTGAATGTTTTAATCATAAATGGGTGTTGTGTCTTATCAAATGCTTTTTCTGCATCTATTGATAAGGTCATCTGATTTTTATTCGTTGTTATGTTAATGTGGTATATTACATTGATTGATTTGCATATGTTGAACCATCCTTATGCTCCTGGAATGAACCCCAGTTGGTTGTGATGTGTCATTTTTTTATGTATTGTATTTGATTTGCTAATGTTTGTTTAGGATTTTTACATCTGTATTCATCAATGATACAGGTCTTTAGTTTTCTTGGTTCATGTTATTCTTGCCAGATTTTGGTATCAGGGTTATGTTGGCCTCATAAAAGCTGTTAGGAAGTGTTGTCTGTAATTCAGTTTTTTTTGGAAGAGTTTGAGAAGGATAGGTATTAAATCTTCTTTGAATGTTTGGTAGAATTCACTGGTGAGGCCATCTGGTCCTTTTATTTTTGGGGAGGTTTTTGATGGTTGTTTCAATTTCGTCATTGTTGATCAGTCTATTTAGATTTTCTAATTCTTCATGATTCAGTCTAGGAAGGTTATATATTTCTAGGAACTTACCTTTTTTTTCTAGGTCATTGAATTTAGTGACATATAGTCTTTCATAGTATTCTAGTATGATCCTTTATATATCTGTGATGTCTATGGTAACTTCTCTTTCAATTCTGATTTTGTTTATATGAGTCTTTCCTCTTTTCCTTAGTGATTTTAGCCACAGGGTTGTCAATTTTATTAATCTTTTCAAAGAGCCTGCTCTTTGTTGCATTAATTGTTCTCTATTTCATTTAATTCTGCTCTAATTTTTATTATTTCCTTCTAACTTTGAGTTGCTTTTGTTCTTCTTTTTCTAGTTAAGATGTAATGTTTAAGTTGTTTACTTAGGATTTCTCTTGTTTCTTGAGATAGGCCTGTAATGATATAAACTTCCCCCTTAATACTACTTTCACTGCATCCCAGAAGTTTCGCATTGTCATTCCCATTTGTCTCTGTATATCTTTTAATCTCACCTTTAATTTCTTCACTAGAATTTGTGCAGTGGGATCCCTCGGTCTGGCATGTGGGATTGGGCCAAAACTGGCTCTCCGACATCCCCCAAGGAGTCTCGGATTGCAGGAGGGCGCAGGCCAGGCTGAGGGACCCCACTGGTACACCATTGGGGCTGGGGAGGGACGCGGGAGGTTGGCCAGCTGGGGAGGGGTCGTGGGAAGGCTCCAGGGCGTGTCCAGTCCATCTCCCTCAGTCCTGATTCGGCTGGATCCCTGCAGCAAGCTAACCTACCAGTTGGAGCATCTGCCCCCTGGTGGTCAGTGCATGTCATAGCGACTGGTCGACCAGTCGACTGTCTGCCGCGCCCCCCCACCCCCCGTGGTCAGTGCACATCATAGCGAGCGGTCAATTATGTCCATTTGATCTAATGTGACATTTAAGGCCAATTTTTCTTTTATTTTCTTTTTAATATATTTTATTGATTTCAGAGAGGAAGGGGAGAGAGAAATAGAAACATCAATGATGAGAGAGAATCATTGATTAGCTGCCTCCTGCATGCCCCACACTGGGGATCGAGCCCACAACCCCCTGTCCAGGAGTCAAACCATGACCTCCTGGTTCATAGGTCAACGCTCAACCACTGAGCTATGCCTGCTCGGCAAGGCTGATATTTCTTTATTGATTTTCTGTTTGGTTGATCTGTCTACAGCTGGCAATGGAGTATTTCGATCTCCAACTATGATAGTGTTTTTGTCAGTTTCTCCCTTTAGTTCTGTTAGTGTTGTTCTATATATTTTGGTACTCCCTGATTAGCTGCATTAGTCTTCTTGATGGTAGTGTTCTTTTTATCATTATAAAATGTCCATCTTTGTCTCTTACTACCTTGGTTATTTTGAGATATATTTTACTAGACATAAGTATGGCTATGCCTGCTTTTCTGTGGATGCTGTTTG